TTTGGCCTACACACCCGCCGAATCAAGACGCCAGCGAGATATAAGTAGTGCAAACGCTTTAGTAGCGTCTATATATTAATACACTAAAAAATCTCACGATTATAGCTTTTGTACGTGGCTTAATAACCTCATCTTTTTTGTCGTCTGATCTTGTTGGGGTGGCTCGTCACGCGAAGTGGCTCGTCACGCGCACGGTTACTGTATTACCTTAGCCCCCTTCTTAAGCTAGTTAATTACTACAATAATTAAAGTTGGTGATGAGCCTTAATGCCGTTAAACGCGATTACGTATTAACGTTAATTAGGCTTCAAGCTCGCGTGTATTGCTAGGCGTACGAGCCTGCTAGAGAGCCTCTAGAATAGCTGGTGGAGTAGGTGTACGGAGCTTTACATCAAGCCTTAATAGAACAGCATCTAGCTAGAGAGGAACAAGGCCTGCGCCACGGAAGGCAGAGCAGATATTGGCTAGCGTGAAGGATCGATCGAACGCTACCTTAAACGCTGGCAGAAACTCGAGCTTAGTGATATAGTTGATGTAATAGCGGATTAGGCTCTCTACCTCGCGGCTGTACGCGCGCTTTAACGGCGAGAAGCAGCCAACATCAAGAGGCTAGAGTAGATAAGATAAGTGAGGCGGCATATAGAGCGTATATATGTTATTCTCCTTACAGAACTCTTAAAACTCTAGAGACTAGTAGCTCTCATGGCCGTCAAGAATAAGCAGGCGACGTGTGCCGATAACGCGGGTCTTCGTGTAGGCATCGAAGTGCTTTATCCATGCGACACCTAGCTCGTTGTTCGTCCAGCCATTGTCGCTAACTGCGATTACCCAATCGCGCGGGATCTCTGCCTCCTCATACCAGGCAGACAGGTGATACTTGCCAGTAAAGATGAGGAATGGTGGGATAGACCAGCCAGCTGCGTTGATCGCTGCGATCAGCGTCACCCACTCACGATTACCTAGCTCAACTACCTTTAGCCGGCCTCTCCTCTCGGACGCTGTAACGATAAGCTAAGTCGTGATCTTACCTATTATAAAGCTAGCTTCGTTAAAGTTATAGACGTCTTCGTCGCAGATACCATACTTAGCCTTTGTCTACTCTACGAGCTTAAACCAGCTCTTAATTAGGACTAGATCTTCACAAAGAGCTCTCTGCCTATCGTACGCTCAATTAAAACGCGTTATAAGACTATCTGTACGCTTAATAAAGTTGCGTAGCCAGTAGGCGCCGACCTGCCTAGCGCCGCGCGCAGCCAGCAGCTTATCAGCCATATCGCGCACAGCAGCGTAGGTAGGCGAAAATCTACGTAGATCAAGATCAAGTATATAATCCACTATTACCTCCTCTTCTAGCTTAGTAAGCTTCTTTAAATTGGGCTAGCAATCACGCCGGGCAGACATGCCAGCGCGTCGGCGGCGGAGCGTCGCTTCAGATACGTTATAGACTGCAGCAGCAGAACGATTACTTTGAATTTGTTTAGTATTAATAGATGAGATAGCAAGTTGAATATCTGCTTCATTTGACTGTGATTGAGTAATCTGACGTGGAGCCATTGTGGGTTAAGAGATGGGAGGTGCGCAAAGTTGGTGGGGTGCGTCACTCGCTTGTACGCGTCACTCGCTTGTAAACTACGTTATACCTACGAACCCTTGGGGTATATATGCTTTGGGCGCTCCGCGACTCCAGTGGATGATCCGTGAGTCCGGACTTTCTGCGGCTCCGGGCGTTCCGCTCGCAACGTAGGGACGTACATATGATAGTGGTGGCAGCTCCCGATATTTGTTGCCGAGGATTAGCGGAAGAACTTTCGGGCTACTTACTCTTGCTAGTGTACGTCTGGATGGGCCTCTCAAGAGTCCCTGCCTGGCTCGGCACGTAGAGAGGTCTCGGCATGCCGAGATAGATCCTTCCTCGGCTTGCTTTAGCTAGGGATTCCCGGCGAGTCAACAATTCGTATGCTTACTGCCGCCATGAAGCTTGATGAATTGCTTGGCTTGCGGCAATCCTCCTGACCTAGACCTAGATCGGCTCCTAATTCCGGCTTTCAAGCTTTTGTAGTGCCCTGCGTATACTTGGGCTGCTACTGCCTTGGTCCCTGATGTGCTCTCATCATATATAGCTACCCTATTAGTCTATAGCTAGTATAGCTTAGGAAATTGGTAATCAAGGAATCATCAGGCTGCATTGCTTTCATGTGTATACGCAGTAATTATAGTGGATACCCTGTCATCATGTATTGCTACTCCAGATATGTGCACGGTAAGTGGGAACCCAGAAATCGGGCAGTATGACGCAACTCTGGGCAACGGTTATGCATATGTATCTCCACAACGGCTTCCTTTACAAGATCGCTGAATGCATCTATGTCGGAGAGGGATCTTTAGAAGGATGTTCGCATTATAGTCAAGAAGTGCCTTGTTGACTTGGACATGTGGTCATAAATATAATTTCTTGCTTCATGTCTAGTAGTACAAATGGGGTGACAAAATCTGAACCCTTCCAGCGGGTTCACGCTAACACCTTGCCAAGCTAAGAGCAAAACTACATAGTTCCATGGCTGCGTTTCCAAAATCATGAGTTGTGCTTAGCGATATTCGACTGAAGAAGCCGATTGCTATACCGATATATGGTATGTCTATCTCACAACTTGTCTTGTGAGAATACATGTTGTAGGTTGAAATGTTATCTGTGACTGCTATGCTTCTTTCTGCCTCTGCCAGCGAGGCTTTTTGGATGATTCCTGTTGCGATTATACAAGTCGCCAATGATATGGCCGAGCAAAGTTCCCTGGAACAAGTAGTGTTAGTCAATGATCTTGATGCACTGAAAAGACCAGACGCGAAGGAAGAAGTACGAACCAGTTATCACACATATCAGACCAGGATATGTGTGAGCTCAAGTTGAGTATTTGACGTGCTGACTCGCAACGCCTTTCTTTGCTCATGTCTGTCGCCTCTATCTCCGGAAGGGAATAGATCGCAATGGTAGCAAAATGGAACCTGGTGATATAGGCTAGCCTATGGCGCCTCTCAACACGTGAAAGTGCCGACAAGTTATCGACGTTGAAATTGAGTGAAAAATCGGTTTTCCACATCATGAGACTGTCTTCGAGCCGGCAAAGAGTAGAGGCAGGGCTTTTTTCGCAGTAGCCTCTCCCGCAGCAGACTGAGCAGTCTCGGCTTTCATGTCGTTGGCTGTGAAGTTGCCGCAGAATACTCGAGCAGACCTCTGCGTACCTGACATATACACCCAGCAAGTCGGTTCCTACATCTAAGGAACTTTGGAGTGAAGAAATGTTATGGTCCGCATATTCGCCGTGTATTAACTGGATATATGAAATTAGCGCTCGTTGTCATCAGCGAATCATCCGTCTCGAGGACAATTCAATAAAGTACCTTGTACTACGACGCACTACTTACTGGCAAGAGTCCTTCTTGTAGAGAGTAAGGCTTTTCCATTGAGTAAATGCCCCAGAAAGCTCTCTTGAGATTTGTTTGCTCCAAGCGGTCACTAGATAATTTGTTGATCTCACTGGAGCTATGAAGGCGAAGAGTTTGGAGACAAGAAGTAGCATCCGCCATTAGACTAGATGTGGAACTGGCACCGACAGTAAATGAGAAGTAGGTCTGTTGCTCATCGTTAGTTCTTTATGGTCGAGATTTATACTGTTTGAGAAATGGGCATCGTGTACTGACCATGAGAAGAAAGGCCTGTTAGATTACAAATTATGCGTTAGCAAATGCTTCACAGCTGGTGTCAATATATTTCCCTGCTTACCTGTGATTTTAAGAGGCTAACCTCACCATACATGCAAGATCTCATACGCAGAGCTATCCTGAAGTAGCCTATTGTTGCTCCTTTGATTGTGCCATTACCATGACTGAGGTCCAGACGACGAGAGCCAATAGCAAACAAAGAGAAGAATAAAGCAATACTGGCCGGACCGCTGACAAAAGGGTTTGAGATGATTTGGACCACTAGCTCTTCTATAGCCTCAAAGTTCAGGTACATTCCAATCCTGTTCAACGATTTGTTAGATTACGAGTACACTAATATTCTTCAACTGAATCTCGATCAGTTCAGTAGTGTAACATACTCATGTAGTTCTGCAAAGCCAGCTATTTGTATTTATATTAGCATCCTATGTTGCCTCACACGGACTGGGAAGCAAAGTACCATTTATGCGCTTGTGGAAGAATTCTTTGTTAAAAGAGCGCTCAGATCGTACATCGGTAAGAACTGCCATCAAGTCCATTTCTCTATCAGAACAACATTCAGTGAGTGATGAGTTCGTCGCTAGAAGCTTTTGTGATGCTTCTATGGCGTGGTTGTTCTTTTCGCCACTGAAATTTCTCATGCTTGTCAGTAACCAAGAGTGAAGAGACGAGCGAACATGATCGCGATGTGGTGATTCCTCTGTCACAATTCAGTCAGAGCCGTAAGTAGATTTATATTGATTCAGGTCTAGGGCTTGCCCATACCGGTAACGGTGATTGAGGTTGATGATGTCTGGTCTCTTGACAGATCGTTCATGCTATATCCGTATTGCGTATCATCTTGAGAGTAATAATCGGAATCTAAGCCAGTACTACTGATATCCTCGTAACTTCCGGCACTCTCCAGCTGTTCGCAGCGGGGAGAGGGTCCAGGAATCGGACCGGGGATCGGTCCACCAAAAGCTTCTCCTAATTGATTCCAGTGGAACAGATCCATAGGATCATCTGAGACGGACACATGGGCTAGTTCATCGCAATAGAAATCGGGAGTCAAGACGTTTGTGAGATTGTCTGGAAAGAAGTCCGTGTTTTCAAGATCCTGTGGACTTGATGATGTGCTGACGTCTGGAGTTATTGTTTGCCGGATTGTGGTATCGACCTCGCTAATTGGGGCTGTGTTTCTGGTGGAGCGGTTGCTTTCAGCGTACTGGCAGCTGATAGACGCTTTCTGAAGCATTTGTTAGAATTCCCAGGCAATACTAATACAACTACATGTATCCAGTTGATCATACATGACAATGCTGGCATGGGATCGCTCCATTACCTAGTACTACTTAGTTACTCCTATCATTGTGTCCCTGACTCGTTGCGATACTTACATGCCACTTTTCTGCGTTTGCAATTCCCACATGCTCCTCGACGGCGCCTGAGCTTTCGCTTAGACGCAAGATCAGCTCGAGCCGTGTGGTCAACAATGAAGGTGAAGGATTTGCCCATATCGCCGGAAACAGTCGCTCACAAAAATCGATAGCCTCAAGAACGGAGTGCTTGGGGAAGTCTGGTGCTTGTATGTACCGCACGAATGGAAAGGGAGATATAAAGAGTTTGGGTGTAATATGTTCACAGGATATGCACCTAGCACTTGTTGGTTGAACTTGATGTGCGATAAAGTATGGGTATCCATGAAACAAGCCATGTAAGTTGCACGAGTGCAGCATCATAGACTTTAGCGAGCGGCATCGTGAATGCCACGACGCTGATTCGGGCCGTGGCTAGTAGGGCCGGGATGCTATGTAGATATACTATGTGCGCGACGGTACTTGTACATAGGAAGCAGGTCGGCCGACCATATACGACACGTCCGGCGCCATACCCCCATTTAACTTGTTTGGGCAATTCGGTGCTCCAGCCATGATGCAACTAGTCAGCGTATTCAGCCGGCGCTATAAAATACCCGAGCAAAACCCCCTTAAAACATATCATCACGCGTCACACCAAGGAGGAATTTGTTAGAAGCGTTACGCGCCTCGACTTTTTGTCTTCCAATCGAGGACAGCTCCATATGAATTACAAATTCTAGCTTTGACCTTAGTAATTGATCTACGTAGTAGAGCACGCCCCGAGGTATTAGCAGATAACCGAGAACGGTGGAATATAGGGAGTCAACGATACATGTGATGAAAGTGCACGTATACTAGGTTTAGACACCGAGTAGTCAGCAAGTATTCTGCCCATAGCTCGACGTGATAGAGGATCCATTTTGGGACGCATTGTTCAGTTTTGGATCCTACTTCGCCCTTACATGCAAAACAGAACCTTAGTGTACGTAAACTATCTCGTATGAATGACAAGATCTACAAGCGATTAAACATGTTCGCACAATGTTCTCGTCACCTTATCGTGACTTTCATCTGTGTTTATCGCCATCTTTCCTCGGAAGATCGGGCTGAAATCACGTCCGGAGCTAATCCCCCGTCCCCCCTTCCCCCTTCCCCCCATCCCTCCCATCGCTATATCCAATACCCCGGTACCTGCGGTTCATGCAGCCCAGCGCCAAATGAGTGGGGTTCTCAAGGAATATCTCGACATACTTAACAATCCTGATGTTCGGAGATGAGATTTTAGAAACATTGACAGCATTTACGTTTCCTAGTTGCGACCCGGGCAGTATTACGAGGCTTCCTCATGTTCGACGAGGGGAAGACGCTGATTCCACGCAGCACCATGGCATACGTGGAGCGCCGGGGGTAGTAGTGCACAGCCCTGCGTTTCCTTAGTTTGTTTTTGGACCCTGGACGTACGCGCAACTAGAAGAAGAAGAAGAAGAAGAAGAAGAAGTGGATACTGCATTCTTAGAGAAACAGCTCCTGCACACCTGGATAGTTACATCGTGTCGCTGGCAGCTAACGTGGTCCGCTACTCTGTCCCGCCGTTGAAGCACCGAAGCCCAAGGCGCTACACTCAACTGCCAGGTGTATACACGACATTTAGCGCGCGCTCGCCGCGACCACCAACGACACAAGCACAAGGCAGAAAGTAAATCTGCCCAGAAATGGGGTCAAGGGCTGGACCCTGGAGGTGTTCACCGCCCCGTAGGGTACGACCAACGTACTGCGTATTACTGTGTACATTACTAGCATCACCGGAGTGCTCGGCAAGTCACTTGACTCGCCTGGTCGCAAAGTTGATGCAGGACATGGAACGAACGAAACGTCGTAACTAGCTAGTCATTGGCGAGGTGTTTTGCTGAGAAATCATGCTGGAGAAGCACCGATTGGAGCGGGATCTTGCCGCCGATACGGCTGTAATTGAATCAACCAAAGGGAATAGCTTCCTACCGTGTAAGGTAATACCGATCCTGGACAACACTATGGAGAAGCGTTCTAGAAAAGCTGTTTCTTGTGATATTACTCCTAATGAGAAGTACGTTCTGATACATAAAGCAACAAGGGTACCAAGCAAATCAGCTCCTGGTAAAATGTACTTGCAGTCATTGTTACTATATAGGAGCATCGGTCTCTCCGAAGAAAGCAGTTTACGTGTACATGCATTTCATGAAGGCACGCCCCATTTTGATCACGAGTAGGTGCTGAGTAAGGATACTTCAAATATAAAAAACACACCCCCCAAGCTAAGGGATCCAGCCTCGGGGCGCATACAGTACCCCGGACCTGTTTTGATCCAGACTGCACACGTAATGTAATCTCTCCTGGTGGGCACATGATCAACGGGGCCTAACAGCAAGTACCACACTACTTAGCGGCTACGGTGGAGCGCGGTGATCTCCACCGGTCGTGCTGCAAGATCTTGGCTAATCATAGTCCCCTTCTATATGCTTAAGATTCAGGCTTACACCGTTCACTGCACCTTGGCGCATTTGCTGACTGCCAAAACCGCCTATGCGGCTTACGATGATTTTCCACGTTGCAAGACGCAGGGCATAGCGCGGTAGCAGCAGTAAGCCCCGCCCCGCCGTCCCGCCCGCCCTCTGAAGAGCCTCTTAATCCTCCCGCCCCTTCCGCTCAAAGCGCCGCAGTCAACGAGGCTCCCTAATAGCACTGCCTCTATCGTTCGCGCCAACCGCGGGTCTTCGGTTAGGCTTCGAATTAGTGCCTTTTGGTTTACATAATGTACACGCCAGGTACAGGTTGTCAGGGTGCTAATATTGCGCGCTAAAGACGGGTAGGAGGACGCCGAGCGAATAAATGCCGTCGGGGTATTGAGAAGGCGAGTGTAAATGCCGTTGAAGGCGGCAAGTGCGTCAAGAATGAAGCCCGTTGAGGATAAATATACTTTGACGAGATTGGCTCTAGGAAAGTAGTATATGATGGTCCCCGTTTCACCGCCGCCTGAACGGTGAAGATAGTATATCTTCTAAACCTTCTGGTTCGTGAGTAGCCGTTGCGATATGTGAGTATCGAGTGTTTTTCTTTTCGCTAATGGCTGTTACTATGATACCTTTTCGCAATGAAGGCCGCATTTGGTACTGCCTTTGCCCTAACATTTTGTCGAACCACGTGCTTCGTACGTGTTCCAACCATAGCGCCTTTCCATCCTCCATAGGTGAGCTCTCTGTGGCTTCTCCAACGATACTGAGATCAGCTGTTTGATGACGACAACATTATTAATGAATGGGAAATCCCCCTGGAACCTCACGGGAATAAGTACCGAAGCTTTAGACGTCAGCCTCAGTAAACCGTATTGTCGAGAAATCAGGGGACAGAGCAAGAGCGTACTAGATGTATATTGGTATTTCGTTACGAATCTCTGGTAGCACACTGGCCAGTATCGCCTGCAGGACCCTGATCAGCATACAAAGCTTCAGCTTGGACCCTGAAAGCTGCAACTTTTCCAGTCACGGAGTCGAAACTTTGGCATTATGGATAAACGGCCACTGGTAGTTCACTAACAGCAACCTTACTCAAAGCGTGGGCGCCCTGGCGCCCGCCAGGTTTCGAATTCCTGCATATTCATCAATCAGATGTCGTCGATCAATATTGGAAAAGCGTCAATGGCGTCAATACGAGCGCCGTTTAACTCGATGAGGAGATCTCCCATGGCCGATCCCAAATGCACGTTCGACTCATAGATGTGGCGTGAGCGAGCATCTCCTACCCTTCTGTGCTCATCGATATTTAGATTCTGGCTTTGTCACGCGACCAAATCTTATCACTCCTTTCAGCAGGAAAGAGCGGGGTATCGCTAAAAGACCAACTCGTATCCTCAAGGCCAGACTGCAGTGACATACTCATGACTGCGACAAGCGGAGAAATAGAGCTCCATTTACTCCCTACCGGCTGCCGTCAGCTACAGAAGTAGCTAGATAAGCAAATCGCCTCGAAAGAAAACGATATTTCCATAGTTACGTATCATGCGATTCAGGGAGAATACGATAGTGTGACTGCACATGTGGGTACTGACGTAGCGAGGAACTCTAATTTCCCCGTCCGTGAGGTACGCCTAAGTCATGATAGTAGTGGAGAGAAAGACAGAATGGTGCGGACTAGGTTTGGACAATGCTGTAGTGAATATTCCGCCCCATGCGGGACCCGCTCCATGAGACTCGCGTGGGAAAAAAACATGCAGCTGAACAGATCTCTTGACTCTTGCATTAGGATCCACTAATAGAACACATGTGGACGGGCATTATCCTTTGAATTAAACCTTCAATCGTGTTGCAAGAAAAATAAGCCACCCGGTAGCCTCGCCGGGCTGGTATCCATGAAGTAACGCCAACCTATCCATGTACTGCGGTGCCAAACATACAGAGCTAAGCAGAAATAATGATATGTAGCAGGGACCAAATCTTGAATCCGGGTGTGATCGGAGCATGATTAGGGAAAATTCGCCTAGTCGACACCCTCGACTTTTCTCAAAAACTCTCTTACACGGCCAACTTCGACGCCTTCGCCTTCTTCGCTGTCCAAGGCCGCCACTAACCCTTCGAGACACTCTTCGATTCGGTTTTCTTCTACCTTTGTACATAGGCTGACGACTTTGCGATACATCATCTCCAGCTGTCCGTCCTTTTCTTTCAACATTCTGCTACGCTTGAGAAGCGCCGTGTTCGTAGCAGTGTACGTCTCGATCCGCTGCCGAAGAACAGACGCGGCTGGTAATTGTTGGAGAAGGAAATTCTGGCATTGGGGCTGATGCGACACTTGGCTGAGCGTAGATGGGTCCAAAGGTACGGACGTCGACAGATAGATTGGACCATCAGAGGCACGCCTATCCAGGTGGTCCCCTGCTTGTCGAAGCTCATAGGGAAGGTCGTCTTCTTTGATGAGCAAACCTGCACCTTGGGTATCAGCGTACCCGATTCTTTTCTTATCGTGCAAATCAATGGCACCGTCGTTGACTGAAAGCATGTGTCGTTGGGGTTCCAGCCATCGTTTAAGATTCGATATCCGTTTGGCGCGATCTTGTCTTTGGCGTAAGCGTGCACGAAGTGTTTGTAACTTTTGTTGCTCTTGCTTCTGCTGACTGGATAACTGTGTGATAAGCTCGTTAGTCTGGTCAATCGCATCTTGTTTTAGACGCGCTTCTTGCGTAAACTGCAGGGACGCTGACTGGAGGATGCCACTCATTACTGGTATCAAGTTAGCTACATAGTCATCTTCAGGTAGGTCAAATACTTACAAGGTTGTATCTCTCGGCTCGTTTCTTCAGCTTTACTCAGCGGCGCCTTGGCCTTTGTGGGACTGGTCGCTGTGATGATCCCTTGTCCGTCACCCAAGTCGGTGCCAACTCCAAAGTCCATTGGCCTCGTGCCTTTATGATTCGGAATGGTGGGGTCGGCCTGAACTTCCATGAGTTGAGAGATGATGTTGCGGTTGCCTATCCGTGCTGCCAAGTTCAAGGCCGTGTTGCCAGCTTTGTCCCGTGCGTTGACCATTTCTTGCATAAACCTCATTAAGCCGATAGGTTTAGAGTGATTGCTGGTATCATGAAACGGAGGTGGTTGGCCGCCACCAATGTTACTGCGGACAAGATACTCAAGGAGTGCCTCAAGGTAATATTTGCTCGAGGCTGCACGTCCTTTGATAGCACACGTGACCGCAATGTGATGTAATATTGTTCGTCCTTGGGAGTCGCGTAGCTCGATCAATGGGGCCAGAATTTCTAGGGTTTCCGGGAAACAGCTATGATCCAGGCTATTGTTCACCGAAACTGCACTCATCAAAGCAGTCTGACCGGAAGCATTTCCTCGAAACATGTTTGCTCCTTTGGATACCAGTAGTCGGATCAGCGAGACGCGGGCCAGCGTTGCCGCCCAATGGAGGGCTGTATTTGAGGAGTTATCGATGGGCATATCGAGATCCGGGCCGGAGAGATGTAATATGGCGGGATGGTTTGTGAAATCCGACCTCGTCTGATCGGCGAACAAATCCGTCAACATGGCCTGTTTCTCTTCATCTTGCTTGGTGTCGGGATACGGTAGTGGCGGTAAAGCGGTGGGGACATCGCCGTCTGCAAGAGTAATGGGCTGTGCGGGATGGTGCTGGTCGAAGCTCTCACTTGGCTCCGTTGGCGAGCTTAGAGGATGTATTGACATGTCTGCTGCGGTAGGTTGGGAATAGGAGTCGTCATGCGAGGCCCGAATGCGCTTCCTTGGTGGTTCCTGTGACTCATCGACGGCAGTGGCATAGGCGGAATCTGTTTGGCCATTGTGTCCGGCGAAGCTTGGTTCCGAGGTAATGCTCTGTTGGCTGCTTGTGCGAAATGAATCTTGGCTGGCGAGAGGAGGTTGTGACTGCGACGGGCGTGTGGCGCTTGTGCGCCTCTGAGACGAAGAAGACGGTCGGGGAGCAGGTGAATTGAGTCGCGCAACCTTGTTCATTGCTGCAAGGGCACTCGTGGCCGTCGACGAAATATTGCTGAAAAAGGTGCCTGTGAGATTTTGGGTAGTGGTGCGGCCATCGATGCTTTGTGTGTAGAAGCGTTTACGGTTGGCAGCCATGGCCTGTTCTTTTGTAGGGGTTTCTATGGCGTGACCCGGTGCATGGCTGCCATCGAGGGTAATGTCATAGTCGAGAAGCGGACGCAGGACGTCTTCGACGCCGTATTGGCGACAAAATTCGCGTCCGCGGCGGTAGTTGATCCATGTGCCTTGGTACTTTCCATAACCGCCCTGTACTTTTTCGTGTTCGCCGGTAAGAATCTCCTTTTCTAATACTTTTGTGCGCTTTCCCTTATCGACGCCGGCAACCTTGAGGATCTGAGTAGCATTAAGCCAGCCGTCAGAGCGGCGGCGCATGACGGCGACACGGTTAACCTCCATTTCGTAGACTGATACGCCCGAATAGACGGCCTTTAAGAGAGGAGAGGGGGGGTCAGCATGGCAGGGTGACTGGGGGAATGTGACTGGTAGAGGGAGGGCCTACGGTATATATCTGAGGCTTATCCATGGCATGGTGGTGGAAGGCGCTCATGTCGGAAAAGGAGCGATTCAAGGCAGCAGGGGCGGCCATGAGGGCGTGGCCGTGGGGCGAGTTTGCGTACAGAGCCGACTGTTGGTGCGACGGCGAGGCGGCGGGGAAGGAGTGTGAAGTGGACATGACTTGCATCATGTCATTGCAGGGCGGCAGAGGGGTGCGCCGGCGTCGGCGTCGTGTCGTGTGGTGCCGTGCCGTTGATGCGTGTAGTGGTGGAGGTGGTGGAGAGAAGCGGAGATGCGCGTCCAACGCGTCTGTCGGCTGTGGGTGCCCGTGCGGTAGCGCAATCCTCGCTCATGATGGTCGTCGTTTTTCTCCCCGTCGCATTCCTTGGCCTCTCCATCGTCGTTGTTGTCGCCGTCGTTGTCGCTGTCGTCTTCCATGGCTGCACCCCGTCAGCCGCTGCATATGCTGCGTGCTCTGCTGCGCGAGGCCTCATACCTGCCCGATGCCACTGCTCGCACCTATTTTGGCCGCTACATTGTCACCTGCTTCAAGGCGCACCAGCCCAGCCACAAGTCACCAGCCACAGGCCCAGCCACATCTTCAGCCACATGTCTAGCCACAGATGCAGCCACACCTTCACCCACACACGCCCGCGTTCCGCGGTTGCTACGCAAGGCGCGCAAAGGGCTGACCCTTCTTCGCCGCGCCAACCAGGGCGATATGGCCTGTCTGCAAAAGGTCCTTTTCCTTGCATATGGCCGCGTGGGCAGGCGCAAGCACACGCTGTTGGCACCCCTCCTCAGGCCTGATGCCATCATGGACGGCGGCAAACTGCCGCTCTCTACCGCTGCTGCCGATGTGCCCCCTGCCCCGCTCCACCAGCTCTATTACAGTTCCTCGCGGTGCCTGGGCCTGTTCGCTGCCCCCGTGCTCATCTCTAAGACACACTGCTCCATCGCTATCTCGGATCGCTTCTCGCGTCTGCGTGCCCTCATCAAGTCGCAGCACAAGAAGGGTCTCGCCATTCACCGCGAGCTCAAGGGCCAGCTCCTCAAGACACCCATACACAATGTCTGGGGCCGCCCCATGCCAATCAGGAGGGCGCGTAACAACGTCCGGCGATGGTATGCTGAGACCATGACGAGAATCCTCCCGCCCCTGCCTGCTCAAGAGTGGGATAAGATGCATGCCATGATGCTCGGCCACCAGCCGATTGGCTTGGTCAAACCAAGGGCCAAAAGTTCCCTTCCCACTGGTACTGGCCCTGATAGCGTCGCTACATCAGAAACTCTCTTTGCCAGCACCCTACATGAAGCCATGATGTTGAGCAAACCCAGTAGAGCAGATCGGCCTGCCGGTATGCACCGTCCCCACGCCATTACCCCCAAGTTCATGCGACGCCTGTACACCAAGATCCTCACTCTTTGCTGCAAGCTCGAGTACCACGAAGAAACAAAGCGCTGGACGGCCATCTGGGGTGAGCCCAGCAAGACCATCAAGCCCAAGCTCTACGCTGCGCCAACGGACCAACACCTATTTGCTGGTGTGGATGCAAAAGGACACCTTCCACGCACACCAAAGCAGCACGACTTGGATAAATCCACCCATGTGCAGCCACGCAATGCTGAGGGCCAATATATGCGTTTTCCCTTTTTTGCAGAGTTCCTTCCAGAGAACAATCCCCTGCGCAAGGAGTTAGACGAGTGGAAGAGAAAGCGCGCTGCTGCGGCTGCATCTGCGGCTCGTGCGCCCACGCGCCAACAAAAGCTGCCCTGAGTCTGAGTGCGGGGCATCTCAACTATCCACTCTTGACGTAGGCGAGCCCCGCAACGCGACACGCATGTATGCAATAGGGCGTGTATATACCTATGTAACAAGCTCGCGGCAACAAGCCCAGCCATGACCTCAATTCCTTCCTTCTATACACTGGCAGCATCCTTCACGATTCTCCTAGTACACAATGTCATCCGATAACGCATCACTTCGCCACGCACGTCGTGAAGGTACCCCTGACCTCCTGATTATATAAAAACTCCACACTGATGCCCGTCGTCCAGACGTTCCCACTATTCTGGGTCTCATTCAGGAACTTGCAGACTACGAAAACGCAAGTGACAAGGTCGAAGCTACCGAGGAAATCCTTGCCCGCACCCTCGCCCACCACGACCCCACCACCTCTACATTTTCCCAAGGCTTTGCTCGTACTCTTTTCATCGCTGACCCAGATGGAGCCGTGGCCGGAATGGCAGTGTACTTCTTCAACTTCAGTACCTGGACTGGTGTTCCGGGAATCTATCTTGAAGATTTGTTTGTCAAAGAAGCATATCGGAAGAAGGGCTATGGCAAGAGGCTATTAAAAGAACTTGCGGCAATAGTACTCGAGGCTGGAGGCAAGAGGTTGGAATGGAGTTGTTTGGATTGGAATGAGCCCAGCCTCAATTTCTATCAGAGTGAGGTGATTGGTGCGAAGAGGAAAAACGAATGGGTGGGATTACGGGTCGAGGGAGATGCATTGGCCAAGTTGGCAAACTCATGATATTTGGCTTCAATGGCTAAAGACATGTCAATAGCTCATACTACTCGCAGGAACAATAAATTACGGTGATTTGACCTGCAGAGGTCTGACTCCAACTCTTGACGCTTCGCCATTTAGTGCATCAATCTCAGCCTGTACTAACGGAATACCCGTTGCTTCGCGCTCTTTCTGCTGCAGCTGCTCTAGCTCTCCAGGAAAGTATATGCGCTCCACTCCGGCCGCCTTGTCTGCGCCGACCACCTTGTCGTAGAGATATTGCATACGATCTCTGAATTCTTGCAAGCTCATAAAGAGGTCCGGTTTAATCGCAACCAAGAAATGGCCAACATCAGATGGCTTAGATGGATCGTAAGGACCAGTGACATTTCCTGCAAAGGCGGATCCAGACAAGACTCCAGAAAAGACGTCCATCATAATGGCCAATCCCGATCCCTTCGGACCACCCATTGGAAGCATGACACCCCCGTCAAGAGCTGCGGCAGGATCCGTCGTCGCATGTCCGTCCTTATCCAAGGCCCAATCCGAAGGAATCGACTCCCCCCTCCTTTTGGCTTTGTAGATCTTGCCTCTTGCCGCAATAGATGGCGCCATGTCGAGAATAAATGGAGTCTCATTTCCAGGAGCGCCACATGCTATCGGTGATACTCCTAGTAGTTTGGACTTTCCCCCCCATGCCGGCAGGGCAGGACTGGAGTTGGTAAAGACAAGACTCATCATGTCAGCATCCAAAGCTTTCTGGACAACCCATGCACTCATTCCAAAATGATTAGAATGCTTGATGCTGGCCATTCCAATACCATAGACCTGCATGTATTTTCTTAGCGTTGATCTTACAGAATGGGGAGCGCTCACCTCACCCTAGCAGACTCAATAGCGGCAGCCATGCCCACGTCTGCAGCAACGAAGCCCCATCCATTTCTTCCATCAACTTGAGCTACCACAGGCGTAATCTGATTGACTTCGGGTGTTGCCGTGCCGTCCAGGACTCCTTGCCGAACGCGCTCTAGGTAGGAAGGAATCCGGTTCATCCCGTGTGTGTCAACCCCACGCAAATCTGCTGCAATTAAACAGCGTGCAACAATCTCCGCGTTATTTTTAGGAACTCCATTTCCCATAAGTACCTCCTGCACAAACCTCTCCGCTTCATCTGCCGCTACAAATATCTTGGTGTCTGACGCCGGCTGGGCCATGCTTATGGGAGAAAGGTCTTGAACCGGTGAAGCCTCTAGATACCACAATAGATGGAAAAAGATTCGGAAGATGGTTTTTTCTCTTTTCTTGCAACGGTTGAGCTATGTATACATGTACATACAGTCATACCCTCACAAAGCCAGTTCCATGAGTCACTAACACGCTTTTGGCGCGGATTCTTTTCCGAGGCCCCATCGGACTAGTATCTGACGCTAGTGGTATGGAAAAATACAACCAGCTACATTTGACCATGAGGCATATTGCGGATTCCCGCACACAGCAGAACATATACGAGTACAATAGTGCAATTTTTCATTTGATTCGGAATATACCAGTTCGAACGCACTACTATTCTGCTCCTCAGTATATACCAGTAAAGATTTTTGGTATAGAAAACTGATAAATCTAGTATTCGTTACTTCGATAGGAAACCTCCGTATACTCCGTGGTATGTAAGAAGGTGCTGTGTATTATACACATATCTCGTTTTCATCAAGAGATCCCAAAATTTATAGCATTCAAAATCAGCATTCACACTTGATTCATTGTAGTGGGCCTGGTGCTCACACTTGCTAAACCCACGCTGTCAACGCTTGAGATGGTTGCTTCGCGAATGTAGCACAGATATCAGCGAGTGAGCATGGCGTGATGGACGTCGAACTTCGGACGGTGACGAGTATGATGAATTTGGGGAATCCGAATTGGAGTGCACAAAAACGATATGGCAATCCACAAATGCACATAAGACCATCATCTTCAAATTGCTAGGATTGCCCTTGGTTGTGAAAAACATACTCCTGCTACTTTTTACAAGGATATAGTAATTCTGTAGGATATGTGGTTGCGGGATTATCCCCCGCACCGAAATGGGTAAACAATCTACAAACTACATGTCCGTTTTCCTCGTCGGACACCTTGGCATTCCGCATATGCAAATCCAGAACGAAACAACAACAGTGACTGTCCACACTCAGACAAAGAATTTACATGTCGGACATCATAATCATAACGCCATAATGCCATGCATTCCGCAACATCATTGTCAAATACAGATACAAAGTATATTTCAAGAGGCATCCGGATGAAGCGACACGCTTTCGTATGTGGTGAAGTTACAGTCACTCTTCTGACGACGAGAATACTTTGTTGGGCACAGCCCGAAAGTCCGATCCGGTCTTTCCAAACATCCGAAACAGCGATGGTGATGAGCATCAACCCTGTCAGCTCCCATTTGCAGTCCCTCGTTCCCAAGGGCAATGACCGTCCAGTACGATGTACTCAAAGGATTTGTATATATAGTAGGGCAAGAGCACCATAGCAGGTATTCACCAGCACGTTCAACAGCATCCAAGACTTTCCAAACACTCATTCTATTCCTTAATTGACCGCATTCATCATGGGTCTCTCCAGGCCTTCTTCCCTATCACGATACAGCTCTATGCTTCTCCTTATACCCTCCATCATAGCTCTTGTTTCCGCAGCAGTCGTGCCTGAATCAGTCGATGTCGCTGTCATCGGTGCAGGCCTTGCAGGTCTAACAGCAGCACGAGATCTTCTCAAAGCCGGGAAATCCGTCGTTGTGCTCGAAGGGAGAGATCGTGTCGGCGGCAAAGTCTACAATAAACCGTTGAAGAACGGCGGCGTCACAGAAGTCGGTGCCGAGTTCGTAGGTCCAACTCAGGATAAAGTACTTCAAATGATTGCGGACCTTGGATTGGAAACTTTCGACACCTATGCTGAGGGCAAGACGGTACTGTACCTGAACGGTACAAAGTCAACTTACAACCCGGACCCCCAACTCGGTGGTGCGCCGCCGCTTGAAGAGGCAGCACTCGTGCAGATTGCCAGTGCGAGGATCCAGTTGGACGCTTGGGCTGCTGAGCTCAATGTGGGCGCACCTTGGTCGCACCCAAGGGCATCCGAGTGGGATAGCATTACCTTTGACCAATACTTGGACACACTACATCTTGTGCCAGATGCTAGATTCATCCTAGCCACGTTGTGCAAATCCACTATCGCAGCGGAGCCACGCGAGTTTTCGCTGCTGTATCTCCTCGCATACATTTCCAGTGCCGGAAACGAGACGACGGTTGGAAACCTGGAAAGAATCATTGCTGTAAAGGGAGGAGGTCAAGAAAAGCGAGTAGTCGGTGGTACAGGTCTTATCCCAGAGCGTCTGGCTGAAAAGGTGGGAACCAAGCATATCACCTTCAACGCTGGCGTCACCAAAATCACCAGAACCTACTCGGGTTATGAAATCGAGTCCCGCGCCGGCAAGGTCCATGCAGAGAAGGTAGTCCTCGCCATGTCACCCCCACTCGTCCACCAGATCAAGTTCCAACCGGAGCTCCCCGGAAGTCGTCAGCACCTGAATTCCGACACCAGATCGCCTGCGCTTGGAAAAGGTGTACCAATCTACGCGACACCCTTTTGGCGCAAAGAGGGGTTCAGCGGCCAAGTCATCTCAAACTCTGGCCCCGTACGAGTGACTTTTGACAGCACACCCGAAGATGCTTCTTTCGGCGCAATCCTCGGCTTCATCCTCGCTGACGAAATGCGCGCTCTCGACAAGCTCAGCGCTGAAGAAGCCCAGAAGCAGATCATGGATACCTATGCCAAGTACTACGGCGAGCAAGCGAAAAACATTACGGAATTCGTGCTTCAGCGCTGGGACTTGGAGCAGTTTTCGAGGGGTGGCCACGTCGCACTGACTCCACCGCATGTCTTGACCACGTATGGCCCCGCGCTGAGGGAGAGTGTTGGTGGCATCCATTTTGCCGGCACGGAAACGAGTGATTATTGGTTTGGCTATATGGAGGGTGCAATTCGCAGTGGAGAGCGGGTTGCTAAAGAGATTCTGGGCAAGTAGCTAGATATCGAGCCGGCTTTGGCCGGGTGAGACGGAAGCTTCGTTTTCGCTTGCGCAGGAACCCGTCTTATCCTGTCGCTATTTTAAACTGTTTGTATGTGTATATTGGGTTAGACTGAGTAGTTGGATTAACTCCTAGTAATGGATTAGTGCCGTTCCGATTGAGCTCTGTTGAGTGTATCTAGGCGTGTTTGTGTTGTTGGAACTTTGAGCAAGTCCATAGAGAGTGATAGCCCGTTCATCCACAATCGGTGCTGATCAGATGGCACTAAAGTTTGAATGTAATGCTTTACTATAGCCTTGCTGCTATACCTTTGGTCATCAATCAGGTCAAAGCTGCCAAGGAAAAAGCGCCACGAAGGTAGGATTTAGAAGCAGACAAAAGTGACACATGACATGTACAACATTGCGTTATCTCAGCTCGCACAGCTGTTTTTCTCCGATGTCGACTGAAAAACAAAACAACATCATGGATGAGGTCATTTTTCCCAAGGACACGGTCGTCTCCGCGGTCCACGACGCGCCTAGCAACGCCAGTGGCGCTCGATGCATGAGGTCATCGTCACTACCCATCTTCTTGTTCCCTGATCTGCAACTTCCCTGCGGCACATCATATCTTCCTTATTTGGGTCTTCTCGGTACCCTGGGTTGAAACTTTCCGCTACCAACTAAACTTTCACGAACCGATCTCGCGAAACAAACGATAGACGGAAAATGGGTTGCGGAGGCAGCAAAGAGAAGAATGCAAGTAAGCCGACGGAAATGGCGCGTCCGGTGCAGTTGGACACACCGGTGCAACACGACGTAAATATCCCGGTAGCTGGTGAGGGTGCGACAGTTAAGGCGCGGCGGTCTCCGGACAATCCGATAGTATATTTTGATATTGCTATTGGAGGACAGCCGGTTGGACGTGTACAAATGGAGCTATTCCTCGATGTGGTGCCCGCAACATCGGAGAACTTCAGGCAGTTTTGCACTGGCGAGTGCAAGGTTGGAGGATACGTGGGCAGCACTTTCCACCGCGTTGTAGGTCAAATCCATATAACCAATCCGCGAGGCCATTGGCTGACAAGCAAACTTAGATCCCCGATTTCATGATTCAAGGCGGCGATTTTATGAGAGGTGACGGTACTGGTAGCGCCAGCATCTTCGGTAGCGAGTCATTTGACGATGAGAACTTTCAACTCAAGCACACCCATCCTGGACTGCTGAGTATGGCGAACTCTGGGTAAGTCGGTCTCCGTACTACGCAACGGATATGTATGCTGACTGGACTACTGTAGACCCAACAGCAATGGATCGCAATTCTTCATTCTGACCGCTGCTACGCCACATCTGGACGGAAAACATGTAGTCTTTGGTGAGGTCCTGGACGGCATGGACGTTATCCGGAAGATTGAATCGACTAGGACTGGTCCTGGGGATAAGCCGCTCAGTCCAGTGATAATTGCAGGTGCTGGTCAACTTGCAGGTGCAAAGCCATTGGAAAGCTAAGTAATAGTTATCGACAAGGGTGTGGAAGTGTGGAGGAAATACTAGTCTTCGGTACTTTTGATCTAGCGCTATTTCTGCCAAAATTGACGGGTGAGCCGCGTAATCTGTCTGCTTTAATTGGGAAAATATTTTCGGTCACTTTAGATGGTACCTTTTGCTCAAAATGGGCTAGAGGGTATTTTAGACGTTCTGCTGGAGTTTTATCCGTGTTGGCTGCTTACATTGTACAGGCTCAACCAAGGAAACTCCGGCCGACGCAGAAGGGGATAGCTTTGAAGACGAGTGTACTAACGACACAATACCATCGATGTCTAGTCTAGTATGCGGGCTGGACCAACCCTGCGAATACCTCCATAATTATTGTCAGAGGGTCATATGTATGAGTCCCAGGGCGGAATTGAAAACTTGCAAACACAGCATACAAATGTCCGACGTATCCTTGGCTTCATCGGGTACCGCTGTCCATTGTACGAGCGCCAAGATTCCCCCGCTGCTTCAAAAAGAATCATCACTTGCATACGCTGACACTTCAGCTAACATTCCGTAGTTTCCTCCCCGACATCGCTTGGTGCGGCTAGCTGTGCGAAATAGGGTAGTCTCGTGACCTCGGCAGCATCTCCGATACTATCGGTAGTTTTTATGATACCGACAGGAGTCCCAAGCCACTATCAGCCGCTGTTCCAGCGGGAAGCGGTATGCCAAGGGTGAGATGTACGATGCCAAGTGCGCCGTCAAGCACGGCGTTGAACTAGGCTTTCCTGGCTGAGAAACTAGATTGCTTAGTAGAAGGACGGTTGATCTATTCTTCACCAAAGAAGAGCATTCGCAAAATGGGCAGTGGATTTGAAGTCAGAAAATTATTCATTCGTGCCATGCCGCTATGAAAGGTATTCCGACTTCATTCGGCGGCCAAGGAGTTATTATGAGGTCTTTGAGATATCAAAGATCCCGCTCCTCGAGCCGCCGATCGCGCGTCTTACCTCTTGACGGCTTCTATTGTTTCAATACCATACTCCTTTTCTCCCATTGTATCTAATCCCTTGCTTCTCGCAACAACCTCCTCATGGGTGAGGATGGGCTTGCCACGAAGTTGTGCCCATACCGCCTTGTGCATTGGACGCAAGAAGAGCGCGTCCATTTCCTCCAAACTGATACCCTTTGTCTCGGGCACGAAGAAGAAACTCCAGGTACCCATGCCGACAAGGATAGAGGCGAAGAAGAAATACGCGCCGTAGCCTAGGTCGGAGATCATGTAGGGAGTGCTTCGAGCGATGATGAAAGAACCAAGCCAGGTATCGGCAGTAGTAAGCGAGACGCAGAGCATACGGATATCCAAGGGGAAAATCTCAGATGCGTAGGTCCAGGTAATACCTTGCCATGTAGCGCAAATGATGAATGCGTTGACGTATACGCATACCATGGCCAGGTAGCCCCAGCCATTTCGTGAGACATCTCCCCTGAGTGCAGCACCGGCTGGGTCTGCCTTCATGACGTAGCCACCAATGTACCACATTGGAATGCAACCAAGAGCGGCACCCCAGATCAAACCCTTGCGACGACCAACCTTCTCAACAACCCAGAATGTGAAGGTGAACATGCCGAGCGTCTTTGCAATGCCGTAGAAGCCGGTAGAGAAGAGCTTCAGCGATGTGCCTGAGATACCGAGAGTCTCGAAGATGCGTGGTGCGTAGTAGGTAATGATGTTTACCTGAGTATGTCAGAATCATTTCAACGCAGTTGGTTTCCGCGCATGTACTTACACCGGTGAAAGATTGCAAGAACATGAGGGCAAGTCCAATCGCCATGCGGTTTCGGACACCCTTTTGGAAGAGCTTCATAAACTGCTCCTTCTTGCTCTTGCGGTTGGCACTGCGCTCTTCAACCTGAGCACGGATCTCGCTCATTTCGTGTTGAATGTAAGCATGAGATTCGTCAAGACAGCGAATCTTGCATAGAATGCGCTGAGCGCCTTCGAAATTGTCCTTCTTAGCAAGGTAACGAGGCGATTCTGGGCACCATGCGACACCGAGAAGGAGCAACAATCCAGGAACAAGCTGAATGGCAAGCGGGACGATCCACTGTGTCTTGGAGTTGACGTCGATGGTTCGATCGGCAGCATAGTTGATCCAGAAGCCAAGCATACCGCCACCTTGGGACGCTATCTCAAAGATACCGACAAGTCGGCCACGGATTGAGGGTGGAGCAGTCTCGGAAATATATACAGGTACCACCTATGAAAATTAGCATTTGCCCGACATAGATAATGTCTCATGGTCAATGCCTACCATGGATGAAGCGCCAATGCCTAGGCCAGCTATAGCACGGCCAACATAGATCATGTTCAGTTCACCGTGGGATGCAGTCATGAGCGTACCGCCGAGCAGGAAGATGGAAGAAGCTATTATCATTGTCTTTTTGCGCCCAATACGCTCAGCAAAGGGAAACGCGAAGATTGCACCAAAGAAGCAGCCAGCCTGGAAGGTAGAGACGATGTTTCCCTGAATGGTATCACGACTTGCTTTCGGGATACCATTGAGGCCAAAGTCTCGAATGAACGAGTTGAGAGCCATGGTACCGCCAATGACGGCCGTGTCATAACCCACTGCATCTGTGTCAGTATTCCAAGCACTAACAAGAAAGATCAGAGATAGTTACTGGCTAGCGCCGACATGGACGCGATAAGGGCAATGGTGTGGATCCGCCAATTGCGGACCTCTGGTGGGTCTAAGGTCCCCGAGGCATGAGTGTTAAAGCAACCCATATGTTGGATAACAGTGAACTTGTTGGATGGAAAGATGAATGGAGTGGTATGGCTAGACGCCTGACTGTGGAATTTCGTGGGCAGAAGGACTGGAGACAGCTTTATGCCCGTGGGCCTCGTCTCGAAAGCAACATGGCCAAGTCCGCTACCGTGAGACTATCACGAGCTGTGCTACTGCCTTTCCCCGCGGGGAAATACTTGGAGGCGAAAATCGTTCCACCATGCACTCAACACCTGCTGTTCCAAGCCATCGACGACACTGTGGCAGCGAATCTGGGCGGAGGCGTGCTTGGCCGCTGACCAGGTGAAGCCTTGCCGATGGTTGGCATTTCCAATGGCGAGAAACGATAGGCGGGTGTCTGCGCGAAGGCTGCATGGGATGAGCTTGGCGGGCTGGCATTCTTCAGAGGAGGTTATGACGAGAATCGACAGTTAAAAACTTGGCACGTGACCTTTGCGGGGTAAAGCGGGTCGTCCCATGGGGGAACGGCACGCCTGTTTCGACGACCGTTGTCGGGCATGCCGATCCATTGCTACGGTTGCATACACAAACCTCCGTTCCCAGCGCCTCTTACCACATACCCCGACGTTGATCGCCTGGGAAAAAAACTTGGCCATCCAGCAACTTGGACGTTGCACCGTGTCACAGCTCTCTAAATTGCAAACGCCTCTGGATTACCCACATTACACTAATCCTCCTCCCTCTAGGCTCTCCTCTGTCTCCACGCACTCTGGATCACGGGATGGATAAATACTTCCAGCTATCTACATGCCATCTCAAATGCAGCCGCTTCCAAGACGATAATAAAGCGGGACGGCTAGCCAACATGCGGAGAAACAGCGAGTGCTAATGAGTCGTTACGCTCGGTAACGTCGGCCGTGCACACACTTGCGGTCATTTCCCCGGCTTTCCCTGCATCGCAAGAAGTCTTAGCTAAGGCGTACAGCTTGGCCATCATACCAGCGCGGCCGGAAACAGTACACCTTCTCGGTATACTATTACTCATATTCATCTCCTGATGTCATGTTTTGTTGGAGCCCGAGTATCAAGTCGCAGTATCAAAGCTACTCAATATCATGTCGTTCTTGCAGCCAATGAGGCTCTTCTGGACGTGGTGATTCGAGTGGTAATATACACCGCATGTGTGGATCAATTTGATATTACTATCATGGTGGACCATATCAGACCACGCGACACACTTTAGCAACTGGGGCACTAACGTGGAGTCATCTATCCCTTGGCAACCTCGCTAACATATCTTCCATCAGGCCGAATCCCTGCTTACTCGCAACTTCCAAGAATAGCGGGAACGATTGGTGAACGTTGACAGGTGTTCGCCTCGAACCAAGCGCCAAGCCGTACACAAGACTAGGAAAACACGTTGTATCAACCGGTCTAAACGCTAACGAGATATACGCCGTCTCGATAACAGGATCTCGGGTCCGATAACCGTGTCATTCCCCGCACGCACAGACAATTATGCCCCAGGCTAGACATCTAGCTGCCCGAGCTTTGGCTCCTTCATATGTGTTGGGATAACGTAGTCTTGGGTTATTCATAGCCTAGTTGCCTGACTATGTGGGGGGACGCTTCACTATAACAACGTACCGCCAGCCTAGACTGTACCATATCTGTTGAGTCGTACCTACCTCGGCTCAGATTCATGATTGAGATGGTTCTCAGAGTGTATAGCTCTGCTATGATTGCCTCTGCGCCCTGACTAACGATTGAAAGAAAAAGTAGCTCTACCATTTCACCCGCGTTGATGTGGCAAAAGGAGAGTAGAGAAGTGACAAGTACAGAGAGCCGAGCTATCTACAAGTATCTTGCTAAGCCAGCCCGTTGAATCGATATCGGACCATGGTCTCATCAGTTTCATAAGCACCTATCAGAACACAACGACTAGCCCAAGGTGCTTTGTTGGTGATGGCGTTATGTTGGCTGGCCTACAGTATCTGCCTAAAAGAGCAACTATGAGAGCTAGGAAATCAAACGGCATGTCGTTAAGGTACCCAAACCGTCGACCAGTAGTTGAAAGAACTAGAAGCAACGAAATATTGGGCAAAGGTTTCCGTAGAGACTGTACCATGAGATGAGGTACCGTTCATTATTTAGTATGCTTAGCTACACTATTTCCCAAAATTCTGTTATACATTGGGCTTACATGTGTTTATTTAAATTAAGATGATTTATCAGATAGCTGCTTTCGTTATACATAGAGGTCCTACTAATATATAACATCTTCATCTGTTTTTTTAACGTGTGTATGACACCCTTTCTTTATGAAGGTAGATCGCTATGGCTAGGCAGATAAAGGTGCCAAGAAAAGAGTAATCTAACTCAATGTTTTTCGAGTAACTCGCCCTTGTTAACGGCATTTTTGTGTAAGAGAAAAAAGCTCTAGACGATTTTCTCTGGAGAGACAGTGATGTATTCGCTAATCTATGAAACTAGAGGCGGGAATGCTGATACCCCGCCATGTAACTTGCAAGTCGTGTTAAAAAAATTGCGAAATTTTTCCAAAAACATACGACAGCGGGGATTCGCTAGTGGTCACCCACCTAACTACTAATCCGCCGGTAGAAAGCTTGTATAGGGCAGATCGGACGGGATGCCTAATTCTATTTCTCCGATGGTCGTATGTACCATGTGTTCATTCTCGTGACTGTCAAATCCGCGAAAATCGATTTTTTCAAGGCAACTAGGGTAGGATAAAAAACGCTTATACCACATCAGCTACCTTTTTAATAATAGCTATACCACGCACTATCTAAGTATAAACATAAGTGATATGTAATGGTAGATCTATTCACATTTCTAGTACTTTAATTGATTTTATAACGCTGTTTATAGTGAGATTTACTGGGCTAATATTTAGCGTGGTTTTTGTGCGGCAGTTTCAGTTCCCCAGGAGCTTGCCGATATTCGAGAGATCTCACATAGCGTTATCGATATGCCAAATCTAGCTTGGTACTGCTATACTACATGAACGAAAAACGACACGCACCCATTTCGCATGCTGTATGGAGATATCTAACCCTAAAGGAAAGAAAAGATGGAAAATATATTATTAGCACTAACGAATATTCTTGTGCGCAGTGCTAGATATGTAAATGAGTAAGCGTGGGGTTCATCTATCACAACTATATACAAGAGAGATACAAAAGAGGTGGATTGGTTCTACGTACTAATCCAGAGGCTTAAAGTTCCTGTAAAATACCTGTTACTGTAGAGAGCCTTCGAAGATCTGTGGTAGTAGACGCATATCTCTCGCTCTCGAGGCCGGCTAACAGTTGACTTCTATCAGCTATCACCTCTCAAAGTACACAAGGTAAACTGGCAGTAGTAACAGTGAGTGAGCAACATGGCATGGGATATGCACACAGTAAGGTTCTTGGCGGGGTAATTGACGGGGAACGCGGGGCCCAAGCTCCAGCCCACCCGGAGCTAGCTATACTTACCACTCCGTACCGTACCCAACTACTAGGCAACACTCTCAGCCTTCACTTGCCTTGATGGTATTTAAACCTGTCATTCGAACACTAAAGCAACTACAACAACTACAGCGACCCATGGCCAGCGCATACTACCTCGCCAAAAACTCGTCAACTCGCTCTCCTCCAAGGATGGCAATCACGTCTCTTGACGAGATTCCAACCTTGTCGCTGCTCTACAAACTCAAGAAGATAGAACCTGAGAATAGGCAGCCCAAAGGCATACCATCTGCCACTCTCAACGAAAAAATCAGCATAATTCGACAAGATATAACAACTCTCGGTGTTGACGCCATCGTAAACGCCGCGAACTCGAGTCTTTTGGGCGGCGGCGGAGTGGACGGTGCAATCCACCGTGCGGCTGGGCCCAAACTAATAGAAGAATGCGAAACACTCAACGGATGTGAGACGGGCAGTGCCAAAATCACGGACGCATACGAGTTGCCATGCAAGAAGGTCATTCACGCCGTCGGACCGATATACTGGAGGGTGGGATCTAGCGCAGCGGAGTTGCTATCAGGTTGCTACCGAAAGAGCCTCGAGCTGGCAGTCGAAAACGGCTGCAAAAGCATTGCATTCGCTGCTATAAGCACCGGTGTCTACGGATACCCAAGCCACGAGGCTTGCGGTGTTGCACTAAAGACAGTTCATGACTTTTTGGTCAAAGAAAGCAGTGCCGAGAAGCTCGACCGAGTCATCTTCTGCAATTTCCTTCAAAAGGACGAGGATGCCTATTTTGGGCAGGTTGCGTATGTGACTTTTTCATGATGTTTTATTACTCGATACTGACTATCACCTTAGCGACTACTTTCCTCCCGTCTCCGAGTCAGAGCCCCAAGAAGAGCACGCTACCGAGCCTCTTGAGCTAGCGTCACAGCTTCCGGACGCTCCGACTATCGATCCTGGAGAGATAACAGACTCAGAGCAGCCATCTTCCAAGAAGCAGAAAACTGCAGAAAGTGACGACGAATTCGTAGTGGTGGACAAGCATGACATTGAAAAAGATATGTCCAAGTCGGAATTATAGAGCACTGGAATGATACAGCTAGTCTGCTTGGAACCCTATGGATGCTATTGAGATGCTGTTTATCTGGCTTGCTGTGATATGAAGGATAATTCAGGTGCATTGGGCGTTATCATCACTGGCGTATGAGGTGACTATACCCGAATCTCACATTACAAAATATGAACACACGCGCTGCTTCAATGAAATGTCACTCGTCATCTCTACCATTTGGTATACTTACTTTCTTGAAACAAAAATCACATTTCATTGGAGTCAATATTGGTGAACTGTCTTGGTGTACATTTTTCTTCCCTCCTAAACTCTACAGAGTCTATTTCATCTACGAAATGATTTTCCCGAAAGAAAACAATCTATCCTTACCCATGAAACTTACCGTTTGAAAACACCACTCCTCAAAAGTCAGGAAAATGGCCACTCTCAAGCCTCTCAAGAGCCAGTGGGACGCATCGAAGCCGAGCCTCGCTGTGCCTGAGATACCGCCTCACCCTGCGGATAATGCACATCCTGAGGTGAAATATTATTGCGATATGCCGGAGCCGGAAACTCGGGCATCATGATAACAACACCGCCCTGCTGCGCAGCTTCACCCGCAACAAGCGTACGAGAACTATTGTTAGCATCTCCCTTGAAGATACCTGCTAGACCGGCCGCACGCTCAACATCTCTAGTTTGATCATTGTTGGAAGAAGAGCCAGATGCCTTCTTGGCGCGAGCTCGACGCTGGTGCGCTTGAACGCAGGAGCCGAGGAGACCCAGCGAAACCATGAGGCCGAAGAGGCCACCAGTGATGCCGAGGAAGATCATTACGTGGATTTTGTCATCTTTGGGGTTGCTGTTCCAGTTATCGGGCTTGGCCGTAGGTGTTGCGGCCGCAGTCTCAGCCTCCGCTGAGACGGCAGCCTCAGTGGCTGCTGCAATCGATGTCTCGGTGGGTGTGGTGTCGCTGTATAGCAGCCAGGAAGGTTCGATCCAAGCTGGGTTTGAGGGAGCGGGCAGGATTGAGTCTTTCTGCAGCTGGGCTACGATGCTTGCTTGGGTGAACTCGGGGGGTATCGAGATGGTGCTGGTTTTTACAGTTACCTTGGTTACTTGGGTGGGCTCGGAGGTTGCGACACGTGTGAGCTCGGATGCTATAGCTTGGGTCGGTGCTAGAAGGACTAGCGTCATAAGCGAGAGTTGCATAGTGAAGGTTGTGGTGGGTGTGATAAGATTCCAAAGTGTATTTGGTAAATTTAGAATTTTGTTTGTAAAGGCTTTTTGTTCGTTCTGCTCCGTGAGGTGCTGATGTGAATAATCTTATGGTATATTGGAAAGCTAAATTTATATGACCATATCGTGCATTGTATAACTGGGTGGATTGGAATCATTTACAAACTTGGTGTCCGGGACATGCACAATGTTTAGCAGTGAAATCAAAGACTCGTTTGAACAATGTCATCTGTCCAATTTGATTACACACAAAGATTTGAATCACAGTTCAAGATTACTTTTCCTGCATAATGGGCATGCCATCTCACGCGATTCGTCAAGATCAATATACTCATGTAGTTTTACCCAGTGTTTCCTAATGGCAGCTTGACATGGATCAAAAGTCTGAGCGAAAATACATTCATTACTCTTCATACGTAAGACTGTGATTGTAGATAAAAATGCCAGGTCTTTTGTTACACAAAAATAAACTACCACAAACACAGATCTTGGGGCCGACCCCGTTGTGCAGCTTCAGCTTCTGGATTTGAAAAGGTAGGGATCCCCGCTGCGGTAGGGCGGTGAGTTGCACACCGCTTCAAATAAGGCGTTTGACTACAGATCTCTTTAACGATACCCAGTCAGCTTCACTTTGCATACCCTGGGTGAGACAGCTATCGCGACGGCTGATCAGCGATTGGATGTAAGCGCATAGCGATAACAATGCCAGATTGCGATTAGCCTTAGAATGAGATGGTGCAGGAAGGAAGGCATTGTTCCGACAAAAACATCAAGTAAAACATGTACAGGCCGGTGGTGTCGTCGTTGGGTTGAATGTGGAATACTACGCTTAGTAAATTGCACAGCATTATCTTTGATATAGCTTGGTAAAGCCTTGTCACGGTAAACAGCACCGGCTGACACCTTCAAGTGCGGAGTTGGTGTCGTTTAATAAACAAATCACTTGGCTGCGTTTTGCAATAATGGTTGTCGCCAAATCAGAGCTGGGGCTAGAATGCAGAGCGCGTCGTCTAACTAAATCTGACGTGAAAGGATGGCACCCTTTCTCTTGCGCGTGCATTCTGATTTTATCGCGCAGCTTGTTGCCTCAGTCAATGGTTGGCTGACGATGGGCCGTGTCTGGGGTGACGGCGGTGGCGAGAGGGTAATGGAGGGGGCTGGCGACGTCATGAAGTTTTTCCATATCAGCACCGCCGTCTCCGCCCACCGGCCCCATTTCATTTGCTCCCAAACTTCCTTCTTCCAACTGATTGTCTAGCAGCATGTCTAGCAGCGCATCAGAAACCGTGGTTGAAAAGTATCGCTACGAAATCCTCTTTGGCACGTGGCTAGCCGTTACAGGAGCGACATTTCTGCGCATCAAGCGACAGCCGTACAGCACCCGCCTGAAGATCGAGCAGTACGAAAGCATCTTCAAAGGCACTTCACTCAGCGCCGTCCTTATCGGCATCGGCATCACACCCGCGCGCAGCACCGCGAGGCGTTTCACGGGCAACTAGGAACTAGACCGTGCTCGGAACGGGCCAGCGAGCGTCTGAGGCTGAGAAGAGAAAGATGAAGACATTTGGCACACCCACACACGGCTGACCATTGCTCACAATCGCCAACATTTCTATTTTATTGTGTCGAGCTGCTGGTGGAGCAATCGGATGCGTTCCGGCTTGGCATTTCCCCGCAACTTTCACATGCGAACACGTCCACCCCATCTTCTTGTCGACTATTCCCAAGGACGCGCATCACCACCACCAACAACAACAACAACATGTTGCTACGCTTGGGCTCGCTGAGCTTTGAACTCAGCATGTGGAGTCCCATCTATGCCGTCGCGCCCTTTGTCCTGCTCTCCATCTCCATCCCGCTCGCCTTCTTCGCCCTCGTCACCACGTCCATCGCCATCACGCTTCTGTCATTGCGCGCATTGGCCGTCTACTTCCGCCTGGCCATTGCCATTGTAGGCGTGTGGCTCTCTCCGTCACCTCCATCTAAATACAGACCTTCCCGTCGTTCTCGCCCCGTACCCACGTCAGCCCGACATTCACCAAAGAGCATGCACCAGCGCTCCCGCCGTACCAGTATCGCTGGCACAGCATCTACCCAGGGTCCTGGTGCCTATTCTGCTCAGCCTCCAAACTTTCTTCAGCGAAAGAACAATTCGCTTACCGCCCTGATCGGTACCAGCGAGTTGACACGAGATTTTGAAGGCGTAGGTGGCTGGAGAGTCGCAGGTGATGACGATGAAGAGGCATTGTGGATGGGCATTAACTCAAGACTTGAACTCCCTGCCGAGACACCAACCAGAAGGCGCAGGTTAAGCCATACAGGCACTGCTAGCCCAGGTCAGCGATTGAGCGTCGGATCGGAGATCTTGCGGATGAGTCCGGTGCAGAGTAGATCAAGGACACCCGTACGGTTTGTGCATGACGATGAGTATGGCTACTTCCCCCAGCAGCCCATACCAAACAACACACGCTTCAGCCACAGCCCAGACATCGCCCACGAACGCAAAAGACGAAAGAGCGTTAGCGCTAGTAGCACGTCTAGCACCACATCAACTGGCCTGACAATAGCAACAAAGCACCCAGGAGAGAAATTTTGATTTAAGCATCATATGCAAGTCGTGTTCTCTATATCACCCAAGGCACCGATTTTTGTTTGCTTTTCATAACGCGCTGACAAGGCATGTTTCAGCCATGAATTGGATCTTAGACATAAACAGCGTCCAAACACCTTCTTTTGATCGGCGGAAAACCTACCCCTGTGCAAGCCAATGTCTTCCCCTCTCTGCGTATTGCAATGGAAGCCAACTTGTGCAGTAGGCCCATCTACCGCTTCATCAGCGAGTTGTTCGTTTTTGTAACATGAATATGAGCTATCAGCTTGTCTTGTCAACTTGAACCCACATTTAGCATCCTGCCGAGCAGCCGAGTAATTTTCGAAGCGGTTGCAATTCGTCACTATCGCGGCTGCTTTCCTCAGTCATCTATCTATCACGATCAGCAGATCCCAGCACCAAACTTAACAGGCGACCATCAAGCAAGGGACATGCAAGTCGACAGCCTATATGGGGTAAAAGACGTCCAACATAAAGGATACATACACCTTTGAGGATTCGCGCAACGGCGGGCGTTTCTGGCCTTGGACCAGCTTGGGGAGAAACGAGTTTTGATTCGGAATACATAATGCAAATATCAAGAACCGATATCACAACGCATTTTCTAGAATCGTCTTGATAATTGCGCTTACTGCCATCCGCATGTTGTTCCGCCTCAACTCAACCTGTCATAGATAACGTTCAAACTTCTCCAGCAGCCAATGGAAAACGTCTTTACCAACTTGCAATCCTTCCATGACGACTCATGCTCTCCTCCAATTTGAAATCTGCCAACTGTACAACGCAACTCCAGTGTCTCACTGGCGCTTCGTAAATCAGGAACCCCGCGAATCTGCCTCGGTCTAAGCCGCCCGCGTGCTGAAACGTCTTCGCTCCCAAGGCTGGCTCAGACAAAGCAGCATACGTCTGTATCTGGAACAAAATGGCGCGACGGGGCAGGCACATCAGTACGAGTCATCGCAGCCAAAGGATCAACGTTTTGTTAGTGTTGAATATACGCAAAGACCGCTAGCCTGATTGGGGATGCCCAATTGTCGAGTCTTTGGACATGATTGGGGCTTTTGCTTATATTTCTTTCTGCATCTACCCACAGGCATGCAGCATTCCTAGACCACGTGTTGCAATAGAACCAGTCATGCAAGGGTTGTGCATGTCAGTGACTGCTAGCGTACGTTTCAAGATCGTCGCATTAGCGGACGGCTCCACTACGGGATCTTCACATCCACTAGGGCAACCCCGGAAGCCAGTTAAAAGTTCCACGTCCGAGTGTCAGGGCCATTGACAGAAACGCTACTTTGCAATGCGTAGGCTCGGCGATGTGATCTGTTCTGTTTTCTCGGTAGACTTGTGCCGGCTCCCATCCCCAGATAGATTGGCAGAATGCATGGTTTCTTCAACCTCAATTGGTCAGGTCATGCAGCTCTCTCCTGCGAATTTTGATTGGCAAAAGCAAACTCCACCTATCATACCCAGTGTTGTAGGTGGACCATGGGTGTCCTCACTACGCTACGCGCTGGGCATGGAGTCGGGGCGTTTCTAGTTTCATGCCTAGAATGTTTCGGCATTGCTATCCTTGACAGCATCACCATGTTCACTAGTGCCGGCATATACTTACTAGGGCCTGGCTACCTGCTGGTAACACTGCACGTCTTCCTTGATGCCATAAGTGGTGTAGCAACTTACCTGCAGCAACATTGTCAACCTTTCTTCTCTTTTTGCAGATGTTGTTGAGATACCCCGTTAGACTGTTTTAATAATGTTTTCTTCTATTGCTGGCACGTTTACCTGGTGCCTACTGGCATTCTCGGCGATTTTCTTCCTATCATACTCTTCAGTTGGCTTCTGGATCAGCGGGCAGAGTCCAGACGCTACCGGCGATTACCCACACAGCCTCAAGGCTATCTTTTCCACAAGAACCCTTCATTCACTGAATCGAGATCCACAGTTTCACGACGCACTACTATCACTTACTGCGATAGTCGCACACTCTTCCGCGGACTTGGGAGGAAAGTTTGGGTGGGAAGAACTGAGGAACTTCGGGACGAACCTGACAAATGGGGTTGGCCGCATTCGCAATAAGCAACAACACAGACACAAACGGCAAGATCCTTTGGCGAATTTTGGCGCATCCTTGGAAGACCTGTTGGGTGGTTTGGGTATAGCAGGGAATTCGTCATGTGGACTAACAAATATCCTTGGTTGTCTGGGAGGCTCACTCACTGATTCACTTGGTACACCTGCTCTCTTCTTGGGCATTGGTCTTGGGTAAGTATGCTAGCATACAAACAGGACAAACTAACTCGTCACAGTATGGGAACAGCCACAGGGCTCAACTTGACTGACGCTGAGGAAGCTAGTGCCATAGCTAATAGTATCGTGACTGCGTACAACTTGTCCGCGACTGGACTAAACTTCGTGGCTCAGCAGTTGGGAAATGGGCTATCGAGGCAACTATTGCCTGCAGTCGACAAAGGAAACGTTCCAGTCGGCCTGGCAGCATATGCTCTAGCATCTGGAGTCGGCAATGCAACTGCAGTAGGCTTGGGTCTGACAAAGGAGCGGTTCCAACCATCACAAGATTCAACCATCGTAGGGATAGCAGGCAACCTCGGCCTGGGAGTTGCAATGCCACTAGTCGGCAAAAGGGATCTCAAAGCCTCAATAACGAGCTGGGCTAACAGCTCGACTGCTTCGGAACTGATACAGCGGCTTCCTCGATTTGCTGCAGCGGCCGGTGTTGGCTTAGGGAAAGGCATGAGAAACGGATTCGGCTTGCATAAGAAGAATAACCAGAACAACAACAACAACAACGGCAATAACGGCAATAGGAATAACAACAACAACAACAATGGCAATAGGAATAACAACGGCAACAACAACAATAACAACAATAACGGTAACAGCCGAGAACAACAGAAACGGCAGCTTCAAGACGTTCCATTGGATTCTCCAAAGTTCCCCAAGGCTGTGAGACTGTTCGCTAAAGGCCTCAGTCAGTCATTTATTGAAGGAAGCAACTTTTCAGACATCCATACTGCAATGAGCGCAGCTTTATTTGGTTCATTCGATGTTCCGAAAATGATTGGATCTATCGCGGCGGGGGCTGGAGCCGGTATTGGCACGGGAATCGCCGTCGGGTTGGACATCAAGACTACTAACAGCACTTCGACGATTACCGGAGATATCAGCACCGAAGAGGTGCAAACGGCTTTGGCTGCCGAATCGTTTACACGAAACTTTTTTTCAAACTTTCTCGAAAATAGTTCCGCCATACAAAAGGCCAAGGAATTGATTACAGATAGCCCACCAGAGGCATTCAAAGGTTTCGACGCGGCCAAGGCAGCGGAAGGCTTGGGCAGAGGCACAATCGAGGGCGTCATGACTGCCATGTCTTCATGTGGAGGGCTCAAAAACCTCATTACCGGTGATTTTCCGGTCGATGCGTTTGG